TTATACACGTTTTAATATGATATCTATTTTCTGGTGCTTAGCTTAATTTAGCAGCTGGCAGTAAGCTTGATAAATCAGTCAGATTAGGCCTGTGAACTGTTCAACAAGAAATCTGCTTAAAGATTAATATTATTGCACTTTATCATTCATGTCAACATTTCAATAATTTCATGAAAGGCCATTTGTGTAAGACAGTGTGTCCTCTTCAACATCTAACACTGCACCGACTAGCTTTATTGTTAGCTTTAGCAATAGCTCATCTGAAGGGGCAGCTTTATAAGATAAAACTTCCTCCTCATTAGATATGAAAACCTCCATGTTTTAATGCTAAACGTTTCCATGGCGTGATTCATGTTAACAGATTCCAGATACATTTTTTTCCTCTAAATTGGCACTCATATTATTCATATTGGAGATCATTTTGGAGATGATCAATTGTCTATTTACATTTAAATAGTAAAACAAAAATAACAACAATAACTTTGGACTTCTAAGGGTTAAAAAGACTGAGCTGAGCTGGGCTTGTGCAGCACTGAGGCCAAGCTGATCTGCAGTGCTATTGGCTCGTAGCTCGTCCCCTTCTGAGCGCTGACCTCACACATACTCATGTAAAGAACTGTGAGGAGATGACGGGGGGCTGCTGAGAATTAAACTCCTAACACTGACAGACCACCTCACTCTGACACTCCATCTCTCTGTCTGTCTGTTTTTCTCTCTCTTGCTCTCTCTCTCTCTCTCTCTCTCTCTCTCTCTCTCTCACACACACACACACACACACATACACTCTCTCTCACACACACACATGCACACTCTTTCTCTCTCTCTTTCAGTGTCTGCCTGTCTCTCTCTTGCTCTCTTTGTATATTTCTCTCACACAAACTCTCTCTCTCTCTCTCTCTCTCTCCCATTGTCTGTCTGTCTCTCTCCTGCTCTTTCTGTATCTCTCTCTCTCTCTCTCTCTTTCTCTCTCTCTCTCACACACACACATACACACACACACACACTTACACACAGACACAGAGTCTCAATCCGTCTTTCTCACCATTTGTTTCTCTCTCTGCCTCACTTTCTCTGATGCGCAGAGATACCATCTTTCTCACACATTGCCACAGCCTCTCTCTCTCTCTCTCTCCCCCTCTCTGTCTCTCTCTCCCTCTCTCTCTCTCTCTCTCTCTCTCTCTCTCTCTCTCTCTCTCTCTCTCTGTCCTCTCTCTCTCCCTCTCTCTCTCTCTCTCTCTCTCTCTCTCTCGCTCTCTCTCTATTCTGTGCCGGTGCATCCTTTGTCTGTGCCGTTCTCGGAGCGAGTTCGCTTACAGAAGGAGCGCTGTGTATTAAACAGCTGTCTCTGGTGGTCCGGGTATAATTGGGGTTGTTAACGTGGCCCGGCTCCTGAGGGACGCTCTCCACAATGTCTTTGTGTAAAGCACACAAGCGCCGCGGCGCTCTACCTTGATTCTTGATGTATGTCAAAAAAAGCAAACAAGTCACCTGAGCTACTGTACATCAACCGGAGCTGTTATTATTTTCCACCCCCGCCCCCTCTCGCCCCCCTGCTTTAGCTCTTAGCTTTGCCATCGCCGTTTCACAGTTATTTATACGTAGTAAAACAAAAGTGCGTGAAGCTCTGCTGAGCTCCATTTTTAGTGGGGAATTCCTCTGAGAGCTGCTTTTCTTAGCGAAGAAACAAAAGTGCATTTATCAGTCTGAAGACGCGCCTCTTTTTCTTTCCTTTTCTTGAAGAGGGAGGAAAATCTTTCCAAGCCCAGCTGCTCGCAGCACCTGTCTGGTGATATGAGTGGAAGATAAAGCATCAGACGAGCAAGCTGAGGAAGGTGGACCTAAGAAGAGAGAAATATGGGAAGGGAATCAGTGTCTTGAATGTCAACACAAAGTTTTAATTTTGACCAAAAATTGTTTTAACAAGAAAGTACTTTGATACTTAATGTTTTGACTGTTCATTTGATTGTTAGTGGAATTTACTTCTATGTAGCCACATTTTTTTTTGATAATTTGTTGCTTAATATTTCTACTATATATAAGGCAAAAGTATCAGCTCATTCAGTCATTTGTAATTTAAATAAAATAATACAGAATCCCATCTGAATTGCTATATGCTGCCCAAATTCCATAACTCAAGAAGTGAGGTAGGTAAAAGCTATTGAATAGGCTATTACAGGCTGCACAGTTACTTTGGCCTGGATATAGTTTGGAAATATGTATTGAGTGTTTGAATTTTGAAGCCCCCCTACAGCCAGCGCGGTGAGCCAAAGCCACTCCTCAAACTCTATTGCTTTAGAGGAGCCCAATTGATTTATTTGACATTAGATATACTTTTTTGTGTGCTTCGTCGAGAATGAAAATTTCATACGCCGATTTAGGGGTGGTGAAATATAAATGATTTCGTTAAAGTTTCATCATAAATCAGTCTTTCGGTATACACTAGCAGACATTGATTGGGCCTTGAAGTCTCGTGAAGAGGCGCGCGAGGCTGGCCGTCCCGATTGAGAGGTAAAAAAGAAAAAAAAGACTCTCGCGACGTAGAACCTTAAACAAAACCGAGTGACTCTCGCGACGGAGAACCCTCAGACAAAACCCACCGCCTCTTGTGACGTAGAACACTTTATGAGCTGCTCTCGCAACATAAAACACAAAATTAGAACCTTGAACTGAAACGAGTGGCTCTCGCGACGTATAACCCCAGATGGAACTCTTTTAAAATGAAAAGTGTTCCTCGAGACGGAACCCTCTGAAAGAACCTTGAAACAAAATAAGCACCTCAAAGTGAAATCTGAGTGGAACCTTGACACGCGCTACCACCACTGTCCAGTGCGCGCGACCAAAGCAGGCTGGGATAATAATATTCGAGCCTACCCGTTGGGAAAAAAAGGGCTTAATAGATGCTCATATGTATATATAAATAAACATAAATAGACATGAATCAGCATTTTGAGACTATTTTTTTCCTGCATGCACAGCACAGCCTGAGCTCAAAGCCTTAGGCTCTGGAACTGGTGGAATTCAAATCCTTCAAATGATGTCCTGAGATGCATTGTCTATAAGGCTTATATATTTAATAGTCATTATCTTTAGTTTTTAGATACTCTTTTCAAACAACTGGCTTTTTTCCTCTGTTTAATGATCCTCAATAGTATAATATGACTTTGATGGATGCAGTGCGATCCAGCAGACTATTTATAATGTGAAATAAAAAAGATATAGACCACTAAATAGAACGTCCACAATCTAGACTGTACCATATTCACCTCACTGTTGATTTCAGCTTGAATTGTAAAACGTAAAATTAGCAATAGTGCATTAAAGAATGTGCTGTAATCAGCGTAAGTCGTTAATATGCATTTCAGTTCAGTTCTACAGAAAGTACAGCTGTACGACAATGTACGCCTTAAATAACGCAAGTAACGTAAAAGTGTTCATCTATAATCTGTACTGTTTAAGCGTTAGGCTGTGGTCGCCCTCATCCAGGGACTCGAGGAGATTAAACAAATCAGACAAGCCTTGTTAATTAGAATATGATTAAAGGTTTTTAATTATATCACTGATGAAATGTAGTCTAATTAGTACGAAGATATGATAAGAGCCCGCTGCGACAATTCCGTTGGGTTTGCAATGAAATTCTAAATTCCTCACCATTAATAATAATAATAATAATAATAATAATAATAATAATAATAACCTTGCATAATAATAATAATAATAATAATAATAATAACTTGTAACCCTGTTTATTATCTCCATAATCAGAAAAAATGAGCATAAATCATTCCCATTAACAGAATGAAGGAGAGCATCTTCTGCATAAATGAAATTTACATTTAATATCCTGGAATTTCTGTACGGACATCGTTTGTGTAATGAGGTCTCGCTGTCTCACAATAATGAGGTGATAGTCAACACGTTGTACTCTTGATTCATTTCCCTCAGCGGGGGTTGATGGAGCTGTCCAGGGTGCTTTCCTCGCCGCTCTTCATGGAGCTGTCCATGGTGGGCTCTGCTCGTGTTCTTCACATTCTTAAGCTACAGATTTGATCCCTGGTGTTAAGCCATTTTTATTTTCAGTTTGACGAATTTGAAAAATTTAGCGAATTTAGCGCCTTTTTTTATTTCCTGTACAATATTATGGTTCCTCGGTAACTTTAAGAGCAGGATGGTCTACTCCACGCGAGCTGCAGTCATTGTAAATGAATGCCTGGTGGAAGACTGCCCATGCGCAGAGTCCCCAGCGGCGGCGTGGCTAATGAAGAATAATAAATCATGAAAAAGGGTTTTCAGGTACAGACAGAGAGAGTGTGAGAGCAGAGAGAGGGAGGGAGAGAGAGCGCGCAGCTGAGAGGAGAGAGAGAGAGAGAGAGAGAGAGAGAGAGAGAGAGAGAGAGAGGCAGTCTGCCCTTCGCCTTTAGAGCAGAGGCAGATCGAGTCCCTGCAGCATTGAATGTAGCTGAAGCGCCGCGACCGTCACGCTTTTCTCGTCATCAAACTCAACATCGACACGGCAGACGCAGGATAAAGGTCGAATATTATCAGCATTATTGTTACTTTTTATTAGTATTGTTTTTAATTTTTTCCCACAGCAGCGTTTGGAGATTTCCGCCAAGAGGAGGAGCAGCAAAACTTTTTCTCGTCGTTTTTTCCCTTCCTTTCTTCTCACTTTTCTCGTGAACGAAAAGGAACTCACCAGAGACAGCGCTTTTTTACGATACACACGCATATATAAAGAAAAAAAAACGAAAGGGAGGAAACCGCGCAGAAGAGGTTGCATGGCTTTATCGGGTTGTTGGAGCTCGAGCTCTTCGAGCAGGACAACCCACTCCGGCAGGTAATAGCAGTGGATGCGTTGTGTCTAGAGACTCGGCTCATCATCATCATCATCATCATCATCCTCCTCCTCCTCCTCTTCCTCCTCCTCTTCCTCCTCCTCCTCCTCTTCCTCTTCTCCTCTGTTGTTTTGATCGCCACTCGCTTCCAGACGCGCAGCGGCAGAGAGGCGCGAGAAAGAAGACTCCGGCAAGGCGAAAAGGGGGGCTTGAACTCGTGAACTCGTGCAGAAAGTCGAAGAAGGGAAGGAAAGAAGGAAGAAGGCAGAAGGAAGGAAGGAAGGAAGGCGGAGTCTAAGTTAAGAAAAAAGAAAGAGAAAAGAAAAAAGAGAGACAACAACATCGGAGAAGAGGCTCGGTCGCCTCGCCGACTGTGTGATGATGATGATGATGTCTCTGAATGGCAAGCACGCCTTCGCTCTGCCACACACCAGCTTGCCCGAGCCCAAGTACTCCTCTCTGCACTCATCCGCCACAGCGGCCTCCTCTTCCTCCTCCTCTCCTCCGTCCTCATCCTCGTCCTCTTCCTCGGCGCCCTCGTCCTCGTGCTCGTCCACGCGCCTCAGCAGCAGTAGCAGCGTCAGCGGCGCGAGCAGCTCGGAGGCGATGCGCCGAGCATGTCTCCCAACCCCACCGGTACGTATCTCTGCATAATCAGCCGCTTAAACCCACTTTTTTTGACAGCCCACTTTTCTTTTTCTGTGCTTGATGTTTTTTTTATATCTGCACAGCAAATCACCCAACACCTCCAATAATTTTTTTTGCTTCCACCACTAACCTCCCCCCCACCCCCAGCCCCCTTCTTCCCTCCCAACTTATGCATTCTGGTTTTGCCGTTCATATTAATTTTTATGACCTGGGATGTTGCATGTGTCTTGTTTAGCGCGTGCAAACGTGCGTGCGTATGTGTGTATGCGTATGCGTGTGTGTTTGTAGGATTTCTTCTTCTGCTTCCCCTTTTTTTCCCCCACCATGCTGGAAATGTTTTAAAATCGCGTCGCGTGTGCCGTGAATTCCCTCGCTGACGATTATGTGCGCGCTCTATTTGCAATTGCAGAGCAATATATTCGGCGGCTTGGATGAGAGTCTGCTGGCCCGCGCCGAAGCTCTGGCGGCGGTGGACATCGTCTCTCCGACCAAGAGCCACCACCACCACCACCACCACCAGCACCACCCTCCTCACCACAGCCCCTTCAAGCCGGACGCCACCTACCACACCATGAACGCGCTCCCGTGCACCTCCTCGTCCTCGTCCACGTCCTCGTCGTCCGTGCCCATCACGCACCCGTCCGCGCTGGCGGGCGCCGGCCACCACCACCACCATCACCACCACCACCACCACCAGCCGCACCAGGCGCTGGAGGGCGAGCTGCTGGACCACCTGACGCCGGGCGGCCTCGCTCTGGCCCCGGACGGCTCCATGGTGTCGGCGGCGCCCGCGGCCCACATGGCCGCGGCCGGGGTGAGCCACATGCACCAGGCGGCGGCGGCCATCGGCATGGCGCACGCCGCGCACGCGCACGGGCTGCCCTCGCACGCGCACGCGCTCCCGCCGCACGCCGCGGGCTGCATGAGCGACGTGGACGCCGACCCGAGGGACCTGGAGGCGTTTGCCGAGCGCTTCAAGCAGCGGCGCATCAAGCTCGGCGTGACGCAGGCGGACGTCGGCGCGGCGCTGGCCAGCCTGAAGATCCCCGGCGTGGGCTCACTCAGCCAGAGCACCATCTGCCGCTTCGAGTCGCTCACGCTGTCGCACAACAACATGATCGCGCTCAAGCCCATCCTGCACGCGTGGCTGGAGGAGGCCGAGAAGTCGCACCGCGAGAAGCTCAGCAAGCCCGAGCTCTTCAACGGCGCCGAGAAGAAGAGGAAGCGCACGTCCATCGCGGCGCCGGAGAAGAGGTCTCTGGAAGCATACTTCGCCATCCAGCCGCGGCCTTCGTCGGAGAAAATCGCGGCCATCGCGGAAAAGCTGGACCTCAAAAAGAACGTGGTGCGCGTGTGGTTTTGCAACCAGAGGCAGAAACAGAAACGCATGAAGTACTCGGCCTGCGTGTGAACGCCCAGCGACGTCTCCACAAAGACACTCTTGAACAAAAAAAAAAAGACGATTTGTAACATATTTCGTACCGCACACACCTTTGCTTTTGTTTTTGTTTTTGTTTGTTTTCTTTTTGTTCTTTTTTCTCCTCCCACTCCCAGTCGTCAAATACTTGTGCATTGAAGCAGAATATCATGTTCCAATTGACTGAAAATAAGCCCCAATCACTCTCACGTCAAAGAGGATGTGGAAGCATTTAAAGGACCGTTTGACTGACCAAGTAAGACCTGTTTGTTTTTTCCTCCTGTTTTTTTTAAGAAAAGAAAACAAAAACAGAAACTATTATTATGCTACACATTGTCTGTCAGTGGAGTGTGACTCTCTTACGCCTCAATTCGTCCCATTGGCCGCTTTGAAAGCTGAATGATCAGTTTTTCTGGGAGATAATCCTGTGTAAAGTAATCAGTGGGCTATGGATGGTGGATAGCCTGCTAATAGCGATTATTGAGTAGAAGAAGTGGCTCTTTCGTTCGCAATACTTTCTTTCTCAACCTGTCCACGATGCAATCAGCCGTACACAAAAATTCAGGGTTAATGTAAAGTAAAAGCTGAAAAAGAGGGCACCTTGACAGCGACTGCCAGTTTTACAAGAGTATTATTAAGATTGTGAATAACAGTTTCTTGTGAATGGTGGTTTAGCTGTAATATAGTGTTGGTTCAGGTATCCTGGGCTATCGGTTAACTGAGTCCAATTCCAGGTGATGCTTAAAGCGTATTATTTGTAAATGACCAAAGGAAAATGTTGTAAATAGAAGAATGGCTTTGCCATTGAAAGGCCCAATATTGCCCAAAACACTGGCTAATATGAGCTGATGCCCCATAATACCTGAACCCACCACCTGATTCCTTTTGTCTGTCTGTTTTTTTACACCACCTCCTGGGTTCGAATAGAGAAGTAGACCAAGAATTAATAGCCATGTATTTCTCATTAAGACGTGAGGGATTTAGCACCGAATCATGTAGATATGGATGCTGGAAGCAAGGCTGAACTGTTCGCCAGACAAATATCTGCTGCAATATCGCGATATCGCCTGCGCTCCAACGTGGCTGTGTTTCTTATGAACTATTTATCATGTGAGGTAATGTTTACTTCATTACATATTTATTGGGATTCCCTCTTCGTTTTTTTGCTCGAGAAAATCATATTCTGACAGCAAAGAAAATGGCCCTCTCTTAGAAAAAAAAGAAAAAAGAAGGGAGGGTGGGGAAGAACTGCTTAAAATAAGCCACTAATTATTGACTTTTTTCTCGTTTTTCTCTAACCTCCGAGATGGCACATTTGAGAGATATATGAGATTTTCCTTTTGATTTCCGTTGCAAATTATTTTATGTATGTTCTCTGGTAATTTATTTATTTGTACAAATAGACGCGTATCATTATGAAGTCATTGCTTGTTAAAATTCACCGTGTTTGCTAATGTTTTCTTTATGAAGAAAAAAAAGAGAAAAGAAAAAGAAAGATCCGTTTCATGGAAGTTCTACGTGTAAAATGTAAATAACTCATTTGGTCCAACACACAAGATAATCCGTACAGGTATTTGCTGTATTTGCTGTTTTAGCTGCGCTAACTTCTCTCTGTAATGTCTGTTGCTTTAGGTTTAACTTGTCGAATGATTTTACTGATTTATTACATCCATGTATATTTAAGTTATCATTTGATAACTGAATTGAACTGTGTTTCATTAAAGAACAAAAAAAGTAACATTTTATTGGACGTCCTCGGTGGCTTCCTTCATCCTAGAAGGCCTGATCACAAGGGAGCAGCTACTCTAATCTGATATTTTTCCATTCTTAGACCAAAACAACAAACAAACACCAAACCGATTCTTTTATTTTCAACCTTTGTTCGCCAAAAATGAGATTAAAGCTGTTGGTTTGAACACCGAGATCAGCCTGAGGTCTGAAATATTACAATTCTTAACTAAGATTCTCAAAATCGCCCAGTAATTTCCTATTTTTTAATTTTCTTTTGCTGAACGGCTTGCTCGCTGCCAGCGCTGGCAGCCCCTCGAAGCCCCTACCTGAGAGCAAATGCTAATATTCTATTAGAGTCTAATGATGGGGTCTATAGAGATGTGGGCAGGTCCCTGGAGCGCAGCGCTGCCAGATGTCAGCCCGCCAGAAAAAAACACCTCGCCTGCCAAACGTGCCGGGCTCCATTTAAATCCACAGTCTGCGGGTCTCGCTCCTCTACCGACACAGACAGGCAGCCTTTGAAGCTCTACCTCAGTTCACTCGCTCTTTTTTTATTCAGGCCGCATGAAAAAGAAAAGGTGGGAAAGAAAATGTATTAAATAAAACGACTGGAGTGTCACCTCGCTTGTTTTCAGGAGCTGGCTGGCGAGCGGAATTTAAAAGGGAGTCGCGAGCGTCTGATTTGGTTGATGATGATGATGAAGGATGACGAAGGCTTGTGTTTGACTCTGAAGGTCAAGATTGACATTTTTTAATCAAGAATTTTTAGCACGCACAAAAATGTAAAAGTAAAATAACGTAAAACGTAAAAAATGTTTAAAAAAAACTGAAGGTGAGGTGGTCACGTGACGCTAACGTGAAGTGAAAGGTAATGTTCGGCCCCTGAATGTAAAAATGTAAATGCAGATCGTCCTGATGACTTAATTGAAGGGAACATTTTGCTTGTTTTTTTTCGTTTTGTCGTTTTTTGAAGGGCGTTTGGAAATCACGTCAGATGTTTCTCGCACTCAAAAAAAAACAAAAAAAACACGTGAAACCTGATTATGTTTTAATGTGTCACACGTGACCTTTTCCAGTCAGAATTTTGGCTTCAATGTCACGTGCACGTGATATTTGGTTGCTTGTAGCTTCTGTAAATCTCATCACAGTGATGTTACTCTTAAAAGTAAACGAAAAAATGTGATGTAGGATTTAAAGCACTAAGTGCAGGTGGGCACTCGGCTAATCAGCACCAAAAAAGTGATGAAGATGTCATCTCAAACATTAAATATTAGCTGTGAAAGCCTCTAACGTTTCATCAATCCTAATCAGCTTTTAACGAAGGAATCCGCTCTCCTAAATGAGCCGATCACTTAATGCGCTAATATGAACGAATTATTAAATTACACATCGAATTATGAAAAGCAGATAATGACTAGCAGTGAGTGAGTAATCATTAACTGGGATGGTTAATTACTGTCGGTCAGGGCTGGGTGGGAGTGGAGGGGAGGGTGTGTGTGTGTGGGGGGGGGGTGCAGAGATGAACGCAGAGCGCGAGACTGTGCTCCACAGCAGGACCCAGCACGAGACTGTGGCAGCTCCCCAGCGGGCCCAGCCCCTATTTAACTTTCAGAGAACGAAGCGAGGGGGATTTACTTGTTTATTTATTTATTTATTTATTTGTTTATTTATCGGACAGAGAATCGATCAGAAAGAGAGGGGAAGGGTAAAACGGTCAACACGTACACATATAGACACAAATACACTCACAAAGACCTAAATACGTGGTCACACACACACACACACACACACACACACATGCGCGCGCGCGCGCAGGACCCCTCTGCCCCTCATCGCCCAGAAATCTATTTCCTCGCTAAACCACACTGAGCGTATCGCGCCTTCGTGTCCGCCTTTAACAGCATCATCCAAGTGGCAGCTGACCTGTGAACGCGCGTGCGCACGCACGTCTGCACGTCCTGACGCCTCTTAGTGCGTTTAAAAGCCTCGGTGGCCGCGCTGAAGAAAAGGGCAGCGCTGTTTTCCTTTGTTATAATTATGCCTTCTGTTTTCTTTCTCGTTCCCCCCCAGCCCCCCCCTTCACAGGGAGGCTGATGAAACTTTAATGAAGCCGGGGAGTGTCTTTGCTCCGCCTGGGGACCTGCCAGTAGAATATTTTAACTGTACATTTACACCAAGCGAGCGCTTTCAGATCCGCGTTATGGAAAACCACAGGCCTCCAAAACGCGCGCAGGAGACACTGCAGCCTTTATTTAGCTCTCCGAGCGCTCGCGGTGCTGTGTCACTTTGTTGTCCACTGCGTCTTCAACCAGGTCGTCTTTCAATAACACGCGCGCGCACTGAGGCCAAGAGGGAAGCTCTCGCGCCGTAATGGGCGTTTATGCAATATTAATTCAATTGAGTGGTTATTAGTTTGCGAAGGGGTGTTTTTTCCTGAGATTGATCGGTGGAGGCTGTGAAGACAGGAAGGAAAAGAAGAAAAAGAGGATGTGTTGTAGCGGAACTCGGTCTGAAAATATGATCTGATCTGATTTGGATTTCATTCTTCTGGTTGGTTGATGTGAGGGACTAAAAGACATGCTATTAGCCCGTTAATGCCACACACACTTTGAGTTTGTAGTTCAGATTAAGTTGATTCAGCTTCTGAATGAAAAGTAATGCTTCTTAAACGAATGCCATATTAGCGCTTCTGCCCACAGCAGCTCTTTATAAGTGACTCCAACTCTGAAGCACTCAGTCCCATGAGTGCCATTCAGCCATTCAGCTGAACCAAACTTTATATTAGTAAAAATTATTTTTCCTTTACAGTACAGTGCAGGCGATTGGTCAGATGAGCAGAACATTGTCACTGTTAAATAAATAAATAAATAAATAAATAAATAAATAAATAAACGATTTGCAGAGGACAATGGATTTTTACTGTGAAAAACCTGAGGAAGCAGAGTGAGAAAACAGTCATTATTTTTTTAGGCTAACACGTTTATGACATTCAGTGTGTTTCATATTTAATTTAATATTTTTTTTTCAGAAATACTAAATACAAAGCCTGGACAAACGACGATAATATATTTTCTTTTCGCAGTTCGTAATGTTGGGTTCAAAACAAAAGAAAATATCAAACAGAAAACAAACCAAAACTGAACAAAAAAGAAAAACCTGAAGCCTCTTACGCAGTGACTTCAGTTATTGGCCAGATTTTCATAACTGATCAATCTTTTTGAGATTGGGTTTGGGATCAGTTTACACATAATAATAATAATAATAATAATAATAATAATAATAATAATACTTTTATTCTTATTA